AGCAAGGTATGTTTATTTTTAGCATATTTCAGTCGGACTAGTCACATTTCAGGAGCTTTATATGTGGCTAGTTGCCACCATATGGAAACACACCAGTTTGAATGAAAGGATTGTATTTTTATAGTAGTAGGTCACTTGTTGCTGTAAGCTGTGCGTGGTTAAGTCAGCTATTGCTCGTTTGTCCTCATTTCTTTGCAGACACTTATGTTGATAGTGTGAATTTAACCACCACTGCAATCTCTACCCTTTAAATGCTTTTCCCAGTTATTCCTGTTCATTCTTAAATTTTTGTAAAATTTCAAAAGCCTTAAATGCACTCTTTGATTATTGAGAGAATAAATCAAACTTTCTTTGTTTTACTTTACATTAATAAAGTTATATGAGTAAAACTTGGGTTCATTATGGAGATTAGGTTGGGGAAGAAGTAAGGCTATGACAATCCATATATAAGAAATAGTGACAGTTTGATCTACCAGGAAAGTGGAGGGGAAGATGGAGAAATGACAGAAAGAAGGATAAGAAGAGAGTGGCTAATAGAAGATTGAGGATGAGGGAATGTTTTTTTCTTTGCTGTGTGCAATATAAAGATTGAGACTTGAAATGTAGTTATGAGGCATCCTGTTAGAAGGAGACAGTTAACTGACAGTGTAATCTTGGAAAAACAATGGGAAGAGACAATACTTAGATGTGAAGGGCTTTCTCCCTTCCACATAAGTTTTGTCAAGTTGGCTTAAACTTTTGAACTGTAGAGAATATCTAATATTAATAAAATAAAGGATGTAAATTTCTGCTTTCTTCTTTAATTTGAGAGGTGAGAAGAAAGAAGATGGAACGAGGGTTAAATTAAGTGGTGATTTAAAAGTGGTTTTAGATATAAAAATGTAGGAGTCTTTTTGTATACTGTGGATCAGTAAATTTCCATACTTAGAATCTGATATAAGAAAGGTTTTACTAAATATGATTAATGGCAGTAAACTTTATACATTAAGTCTTTTGAATATCTGACTCTCTTTACCTAATGTGATGGAAGACTTCTCAGCATTTTATAAAACATGAACAAATGATGCTCAATTCATGGCAGAAATCCTAGGAACTGTGACTCTGAACTTTTGTCTTTTAAAATATGATGTATTTTAAGCACTCATTTAATGTTATTGTTCTTTACAGTAGGATTTCATTTTTAGAATTACAGATTTTTAAAAAATGTTTATAAAAATTTTTTGAAATATGTGGAAGTTAGTCATGTGATAGCTGCAGACTTATAGAATATTGCTTCCCTTTGCTCTAGTTTTAAGGCTGGAGATATGTTCCATTTACTTTAGGTGATGGGGCTTTATTTTAAAAACTGAGGAGAGGACCAGGAAATCCCACAAGGTGTCTGAAATTGTAATGAAACAGTTTCTGGAAGGTAACGAGGTTGTTACTTAAGGCATATACCACCTGATTTTCACCTCCCTGTTGCCAAGCTGTGGAAGTCATTTTCAAGTGAAGTCAGTAATTATAGACAGTTAAAAATTGATGTGATCATTTAAGTGAAGTTTAGGACACTGATCTCTGCCACCCTCTTTTCCATCTTCTGCCCATCTCACATGTGTCCATTTTCCTTCACCCTGAAAACCTACAGGACAATATAAGAACTATAACACCAAGTCATTATCAACTAGAATACTCATTCATTTTGTTCATTCATTTTTGCTTTAACTCTGTTAACTCTGTTTTTGCTTTGGTGACTTTTCGGAAACTCTAGTAATTGCCATGCCTTTCATATGCTATACTTGCTCTCTCTTCCCTTTTCTGGGCACATTAGGAAAACTACTTTGGTCTGTCCACAATTCGTCTCTGCTTCTCTTACTGATACTAATTAATGATCTTTGTTTCATATTAAGGCTTCTCAAGGAAAAAAAATGTAATTGATTAGTCATCCAATAGTCATTTCTGTTGGCGTCTGCTTCACAGAGGCCAATTCCTTATTCTATTATTTGTAGCTAAGGTCACATGACACACAGGTTGGCTAATGAACTGCTTCTGATTGCCTTCCTTAGAAGATGGCTATGTGTGGGATGATTATTTTTTTCTGTGTATTACATAAAATGGGGTATTCCTAATATCTCAGTTAACAGGAGAGTTTTTTGTTTGACCCTTAGCTTCTTGCTGGTATTAATAATGACCAGAACTTGAGCTGCTACTATGTATTTTCCATGACTAGAAACTCTGTTAAGCATTTTTTGTACAGTAGTAATTTCACCAGCTATATGATCCATATTCTAATGAAGAAACTGAGTCACAGTGAAATATGAAATACGGCATTTCATTAATGGAACTCAGATTTGAATATAGGCAGTTTTTTTTTTTAACAGCTACAACATATAAGATGTAACATAACAGTTTATTTTAAAATTGTACTTATTGAAGTAAGATGCATTTACAGCACTGTATATTTAGGGGTATAGGTTCATACCTATTCATACCTCTTCAGAAGCATCTTGCCATACTACATCCACCCCTAAAGCACCATGGTAAATTTGGCCCCATTCTTTTTAACTATCTTCATATTCAACCCTTATTTTTTTTCAGTAAGTATTTCTTTATCATTACTGGTACTATTTTGTCTGCCTTCCTTTGAAAATTTTCCCTTGGGGTAGTAATAATGACTCAGGAAACAGGCTGTTACATGTATGATAAAACAAAAAAATCTGTTTACCCGATTCTTGTATTTGTAGAAGTTAGTCTTATTTGGTGGGGGGAAAGGACTTGAATGAAGATCACCGTAGTTAAGTGAAATAAATGTTCATGATGATAAATACCAACCACTAAACCTGGGATGGAGTGACTTAGTAAGTGTGAAGGTATCTAGAGGAGCACTGATTCACCCATGAGGTAGCCTTTGGATTGACTCTTTAAGGAAGAAGAGGAGTTTGATTAACTGATCTGTCTGAAGGTTCAGTTAATTTCCACTGAAGGAAACATATGCTAAGACATAATATGGTGTTAGAGGACTCATGAGTCACCTGATTTTGTAAATGGTGGTGGCCATTGAGAATGCACCCAGATCATGTAGATTTTCTAAATCTCTGCTTGTTCTTTCTAGACACAAAATTAACCACAGCAGTGCCATCTTGAAACATTTGATTAAAACACTCATATTTTGGAGCTCTTCATTTTCCTCTGAGGAAAATCTTGGTAATTTCCCTGTTCCTCACATGTTGTAAATAATATGAGAAGGGAACTGTGGGTACTACTTCCTGGTACTTCCTATTTCAATGTTAAACAACCTAAAGCTTTTATTTTTAGTTTGTGGTTTTAATTTATCCTTACTTTTTGCTAACTGTAGGCTCCTCATGCTGTAGTTAAGGGAGTATGATCAGGCAAGGTAGTGGTGGTGGAGAGTTGGTGAGACTGAAAAGATAGGTGGGGCTAGACTACTTAGAAGCTTTGTATTACATGGGAGTTGGTATTTTGTAACTAGTGGAAAACCACTAAAATATCTGCACTAAATGAGGGATGGGGGAGGGGTTAGGAGACGGGAATTACACAACTAGCTTTTTATTTTTGAAGAGTAACTTTGACTATGTTGAGGAATATAACTACAGAAGATACAGTAGAGGCAAGAAAACATTGATCCTCAGATTAGTAGAGGCATCACTTGAGAACTTGTTAGATTCTCAGGCCTACCCAGTATCTAATTGAATCTTTGGGGGTAGGGTACAGCAATCTCTTGTTTTGATTTTGGTGAACACCAAAATTTGAGACTAGGGATACCAGGTCTAATGTGGCTGAATTACCATTTGCAATTTTTTTTTTTTAAAATTTATTTATTCATAAAGAACTGGGGTACAGACCAGAGATGCGGAGGGTGAGAGGATTCACCAGAGACAGAGCAGGGAGCAGAACAGGCAGATCAATGAAGTACACTGCTGAGGGGAGCAGCGGGCGGGTCAGGAGAGGTCTGCCTCGCCATGTGGATCTCCTCCAGGGCAGGCAGGGTTCGAACTCATGCAGAAGTGGCTTAAGCTTCTTAGTGTAGTGCTTTAACCTGCTGTGCCACCAGGGAGGGCCAGCAAATGTTTTTTACATGATGTAGTTGATTTTGATTAGATGTTCATTATATTTGAATTTTGCATTCATGATCCTATATAAATATATATAAATATATGATTGTTATTTATTTATATGAAAATCTTAAAAGATGTGAAGAGGCCCTCCCTGGTGGTGCAGTGGGTTAGGATGCAGCACTGCAAGTTGGCTGCAGCTGCTTCAGTGTGAGTTCTATCCCCAGCCTGGAGGTAATCACATGGCGCAGCAGACCTCTCCTGTTTTACCCACTGCTCCCCTCAACAGTGTACTTTGTCAATCTGCCTCTTCTGCTCCCCAGTCTCAGGTGAAGCCTCTTACCACCCCTGCACCTCTGGCTCTGGCTTGTACCCCAGTTCTGTATGAATAAATAAAACTTAAAAAAAGATGAAGAACTGAAACTGGGGGTAATACATTATATTTAGAAAAGGAGAGATAATTCAGGATCTTGTGGAAAGATAAAAAAATCAAGAAGAGATTGCTGAAGTAGAATAAAACAAGTAAGAGGTGCTTTAATGCTATAGATGTTGATTTGTATTATGGTGCTTAAATCTTCAGTATGGAAAACTGGTTGAAGATAATATTTAAAAAAGGGGGAACAACAGCTTTTTTGTATAGCCCAAAGGAAAAGATGATGACTTTCCCCAAGATTTGCTAAGATGCCCTTATGTTAGTTCTACGTAGCAATATTAATAGGTGGTCTACTTTAATTTCTTTATATAATAGCTAAACAGCTGATTTGCATCTAACCCAGATTTCATGTTTTTCTTTGAGGTGTGAGGGTTGTGGGTTTAAATTTCACCTTTGCTGGAATGGAACTAAGTTTGATAATCATCCTCTGTTTACCCCTGTTAACTTGCTAAATGACCAGTACAGACAAAGCAAATACTTTGTAAAAGTAATCTCCTTGTCTTCAAATTTTGTTCCAGGACCCATCAGTTACACAAGTGACAAGAAATGTTCCACCAGGACTTGATGAATACAATCCATTCTCTGATTCTAGAACAGTAAGACTATTCTTCATTAGACTACTTTCAAATGTTGAAATTAAATAAGAATGGTATCAATGATGGTTTCTGTTTGTTTAAACTTTTATGTAAAACTTAGCTAGTTAAATTTTTTTACCAGGAAGTAGTAGTTGAAAATTATCTTTTAGCACCCTGGTGCTACAAGTTTTTTTTCTACAAATGAAATTGCTAATTAATCTCTAATTTGTAGATCTTTTAAATAGGAGAAGAAAGTAGTTTTTGGTTATATATGATGTCTTCATGGTAATGTGGGGTGATGCTTTATTAAAATGAGAGATCTAACAATGGAACTGTGTGCCATGAGTATTTTTGTATCATTTTGATTAGGTTATTTTGAATAGTATAGAGCTATTTTGTGTTTTTTGTTCTAGCATTTTTGATGGTTTTATTGGGAATCACTTTTGAGAACTATTGAGGTTCTTCTGGGCATTTTTTGATAGATAACTTCGGCTTTTGCATATGAAGCTTTGACATAGGTAATAAATTCATGAGGTCTCATTTTAAGTATTGTCGGCTTACTACTCATCCTCTTAATGCACAGAAGTTCTTGTATGCTTGGATTTACATATTAGAATATTAATCATAATCTTTACTCAATAATTTCTTCCTGACGTCTTTTATAGTTTAGAAAATAATCCTAAAAAGTTAGTGTAGATTTTTGTTTAGAAATTTCAAGATGTGTTATATTAACTCAGGTTTAGGAATTTTTGAACTAAGATTTACTTTAGGGGTTTCACTTTACTTCACAGTCCTCATTTAACAGATTTATCTTATGTGTAACAATTGCAGTCCAGGCTGGGTATCACTAAAATGTTCATTAAGCAAGTAAACTGTACTATGAACCATGTCAATTTCCTTCCTTATAGGAAATTAGTGCTGTGATTATGTTTCTGATTTGGTGGTAATAGAAAGGGAAACATAAGTGCTCTGGTATATTTTATTTTATATGTAGTTCTTCTAAAATGAGATTTGAACAAGATTTATTAAAGCTTTTTGGTAAAGAATAGGAAGGTTTGTATGATTTGGGGGAGATTTTTACTAGTAAGAAATTATTTTAAAGCTTTAGATAACTTGTCTGTAGTGATAGTATTTATCAAATGGTCTACTTAGTGTGTGCTTTAAATCTGCTATCTTAATTGAATTCTTAAAATAACATTCATGATATTTTTTATTTCTATTTTTCTGATCAGAAATCTGTACCAAAGGTCCTCCAAGTAGTAGGTAGCAAAACTGGTTTAATAATTCATCTGTTTTCTGTAAAGTATTTGCCTTTTTCACTTTGCAAGTGCTTAACTTTAGATATGAGATAGATGCTAAGAAACAGAAGATGTGTTTTTTACAGGGCAACCCCAACTTGAAATAGGTTGCCTGACTATTTTTTTTTTATAAATATAATAGTTTATTTTTACATCATTTTGTACATTTTTTTTTATCTCAATTGTAATCCCCATGGGTTTCCCATCACCGAGTCACCCATGTGCCATCACCATAGTCCTGTGCACTTTCCCCCTGTCCCCCCCACCGTTTGATCACATTCCCCACTCCACCCCCACAAAATGTCTCTGGTATATGACTGTTCATTATTCTTATTTTCTCGCCTGGTCCATTATACTCCTGCTATGAGTGAAACCATCCGGTATTTTCTTTTCTTTCTGGCTTCTCTCACTAAGCATGATCTTTTCTAGCTCCATCCAAGTTGCTGCAAAAGACATGTGTTTATTTTTTTTGGTTGCTGAATAATAATTCTATTGTATATATGTACCACATCCACTTTTGGGCATTTGGGCTGTTTCCATGTTTTTCCAATTGTAAATAAAGCAGCAATAAACATGGGGGTACAGGTATCTTTTTGAGTCAGTGTTTTTGTGTTTTTCGGGTAGATACCTAGGAGTCAGATTGCTGGGTCTTAGGGAAGCTCTGTGTTAAGCAGTTTGAGGAACCTCCAGTTTTCCACAGTGGTTGTACTAGTTTGCATTCCCACCAGTAGTGCAGGAGAGTTCCTTTTTCACTACATTGTAGATGTGTCATTCTTACTGGGGTGAGGTGGTATCTCATTGTGGTTTTAATTTGCATCTCCTTATTACGAGTGATGTTGAACATTTTTTCATATGCTTGTTGGCCATCTGCATTTCCTCTTTGGAGAAGTGTCTTTTTAGCTCTTCTGCCCATTTTTTGATGGGGCTGTTTATTTTTGTTGAGTTTTGTCAGTTCTTTGTATATTTTTGTGATCAGTCTTTTATCACTGATTTTGTGTGAGAAAATTTTTTCCCAATTAGTGGGCTGTCTGTTTTTTTGTAATGTCTCTTTTGCTCTACAGAAGCTCTTTAACTTGATGTAGTCCCATCTATTTATCCTTGCCTTCACTATTGTGGCATTGGGTGCGCTATCTTTAAGGATGTAGTGGAAGTGTATGTTGTGTAGTGTATGTTGTGTAGTGTTTGGCCCATCTTTGTTTCCAGGTATTTTATGGTTTCCGTTCTTATGTCTAGGTCTTTAATCCACTTCGAGTTGATTTTTGTGAATAGAGTGAGGTAGTGATCTAGTTTCATTTTTTTTGCATGTAGCTTCCCAGTTTACCCAGCACCATTTGCTGAACAAACTTTCTTTGTTATATTGCATAGTCTTTGCTCCTTTGTAAAAAAATTGGTTTATATCTGCATTTTCTATTCAAATCCATCGGTCTATATGTCTTTCTTGTTCCAGTACCATGCAGTTTTGATTATTATGGCTTTTCACCTGCATTCTTGAAAAGGACTTATGATAAGACTCAAATGCAGGCATACACAAAAAGGTTAGTAAAGGGTTTATGTACAAGAAAAGGGAAAATGAAGAAAGGAATAACATCAAGAAGAAAAAAAATTGAATGTGTCCTACCGATTTGTTTTTTTGCTGAAAACTGATAAAAAACCAATCCTGTACCTCTCCTCCCCAAGGTCCACATGTCTGGTTACATACCAAGCCTGGCTGCTTAACTCCACCCTTAGTTCCCAGCAACCCTCTGTTCAGTGGTGACATTATGGTACCTGTAATCCCTGGTACTTTGGATCTCTTTGGTCTTGGGTAGAGGTAGGAGTTCATCCTGTTTGTTCAGGACATCCTTTTCCCCCAACGTATAAAGTCCTGGTCTTTAAAAAACTTCTTACCTAGTTAGGATTTTAAAAATTGTACAAAAAAGATAGATAAAATAAAAAATGTAAGTTGTGGTCCTTTATATTGAGACTTTTACAATCAGGGTGAGGTTTTCTCAGATACTAGTCTTGGATAGCTGGGCATTCATGAAATGTTAATTTACAATAAGACACTTTTCTTAGATTTGATAAGCAGTAATAATAGTGTCAGAAAAATAATTGTTCTGAAAGTATTTGTGCATTCCACTGACATTTTTGCATGAAAAGTTGAAATAATTAAAAAATCCCTGTTTCCTGTATATTATCTCAGAAATTTGACCTTTTACATGGTTTTATTTTCTAGAATAGATCAGATGTATTTGGAGAATTGATTAAATGATATGGTAGAACTTGCTCTAAATACTTAATTTATTAGTTGACTTGTGTTATTCACACTTGTTTTAGAAAAATGTTTATGATAATGAAGCCTCTTGATTGTTGGATAGGGGTATGGTAAATTACTTGAGGTCAAGCAGTAACATCATTTAGCCAAGTGAGTGTACAACTTAATCTTGCTACTTTGGAAAGTTCCAACCTTTTACTTTAATATAAGGTTAGTTTTCCTTTCATATTTAGCTTTCTGCTTTTTTTTTTAAAGGACATTTAACAAATTGCAATGGGTCATCATCTCTTTGCCAAACAAAATTATAGAATACTTTGTATGTCATAGATATGCCCACTTTCTGTTTTGTTAAGAGGTGTTTAATCTTATAAGTTTCTTTTGCTTATAATAATCGTTGCATACTAGTAACTGTGGAATAGCTTTCTGCTTAAATAGAAACTTTAAGGTATTAACTACAGAAGACAATAGGTTTAAATATTTTAACACTTTAATTTTACATGTTAATTCTAATATAAATTCAGAGAAAGGAGTGGTCACAAGACATCTTACATTACAAATTAAATAAGTGTATAATAGAGACTGTTGAGCACTTGAAATGTGACTAGTCTGAATTAAAAAAATGCTGCAAAAATTCAGAATACCCTTGGGTTATTATGTAATTTTTTGGATTGAATTCTAAATGCATCTTGCCTACTGAAATTATGTTGACCATGGTAGGTATGTTTTCTGGCTTTTATCCTATAAAATTGATAGAGGAATTAACTCATCCATGAGAATTGATGGAGAATGTATTCATGGGAAATATTTTCCATATAAATTAGGTAACAGTTTAAAATGCTTACTTCAACTTGATAATAGTTTTAGGTATAGGTGATAGATAACATTCATCACTTAAGGTACAGTGATATCTATGTGGAAACCTGGCACTGTTGATCTAATTCCTTAAAAGCATTTATCAGGGTCTAGATAATTATTAAATTTTCTTCAGGAATAGGCTGCCTGTTTTATCTTTTAACTCTGCTAGTTGTTGCTATAAGAGGTTTCTTTTATATATAACAGCAAGATCTGTTTGTCCTTTCTGGGGTGGAGGGTGGGAAACAACCCAAGAGAAGAAAACTAAATACTGTCATGCCCAAGTGGCTATTTTTGACTAGTATGACATACATAATTGACTTATGTAAGCAGAATTTCCTCTAAGATAATTGAGAATATGAAGTATATTGAAAGGCTTTGATTATACTCTATTAGTAGGCTTTTCTAATAATCGGTAACTTTCAGCAAGCCATCTGAGCATGTTGGACATTTTTTCAATGTGTAACAATGGAGTCAGAGAGGAAGATGTAGAGTAAAAAGATTTCTAACTCCAGGGACTGACTGGATATACTTGCACATTGTAATTTAACTATCTTGAATACCCCAAAAGCATTTTATATACTTCAGTACTGGTCTTTATTTTCTCTTACCTTCCA